GGCCATAATCACAGACAGCATTTAGTTGGCATGTCTCTATTCTCCATTAAGCTGAATCAGTTCCTTATTCTTTTTAAGATTTTGGCATTTTAAAAGAATACAGGCCAGTAATTTTATAGTATTTTCTTCTACTTGGATTTTTCTAATGTCTTCGTGATTAGATTCAGGTTACAGGTGTTTGGCTGGAATGCCACATAGGTGATTTTCTGTTCTCAGAGTATCAGTCCTCAGTCCAGACGCACATCATCCCTTGTTGGTGACATTGATTTTGATCATTTTGATTATTTGGGGAAGGTATTGTCCAGTTTCTCCACTGTGCCATTATTCTTTTGGAGAGATATTTTGAGAGCATATAAAAATCTTACTCCTCATTAAAGGAACTCTTTAAACATAAATACATTAATTTCTATCCAAGAAAATTGACTATAATTCCTAGGTTCAATTTTCTAGATTACTTAGACAAATTCCTTAACCTTTTGTTTAAAACAAGATCCAAAGAAGTCCTGTACAATGCATTTGGTTGGTATGTCTCTTAAGTGTCTTTCGGTCTCTGGCAGAGATCATAAATTCTTAACAGTTCTTACAAGAATGAAGTTCTATGATTGAGGAGAAGGAAAGTCATTATTCTATTTCCCGTACCTGGCACATAGAGCTCATAAATTTTTGTTGAACTGTGGGCTCCCCACTTTTCTCACATGTACACACATCGTCTCATTCTGCTGAGGGTATTTGCTGTGCTGTGGCCTCTCCAGGCTCTAAAATCTTGCTGCTGAATGAGAAGAGCTTGAGTGGGATTCCAAAACATTAGCATAGCTGAAGTCCCATTCAGATCTGGGCCGAGGCTGCTCAAGGCATGGAAATATCTGAGCTGCCAAATCAAGAGGTGAGGTGTAAAATGGAGGAAATAGGACTTCTTTGACACTACCTCAGGGCTGAGCTATGTAAGACTAAGTGCTCCTTGCAATGACTGCTGGTATGGAGAGGAGCTTCAATCCTGGATGACATTGACTGTAAAATATTTCAATACCATTACTAGGAATGGTAGAAGCTGAAAAAACTCACCTCAAATACTGCAAACTTGAGTGTGAGTGTGTGTGTGTGTGCATGTGTGTGTGTGTTGCAATTGAGGCTCGAATTCCCCTTTGGTGCAGGCTATTATGTTTGGGAATACTGCTCAAATGGGCCACTTAGTTTAATGAACTGAAGCAGAAACTGTGATAGGAAATGGCGATGTTTGGGAAGCTGTGACTCCCTGGAACCAAAGGACTCTGAGCATTGGCGAAACAGGTCAACCACATGCCAGCTGAGGTTGTCTCTGCAGGTCACTTCCTCTGGAAAAAAATGTTCGGGTTAAGTATGAATTTAGACTGTGCTGTAGCTAAAACATAAATGATTATTTGAGGGAGATATATTTATCCTTATTTGAGCAAACTGCAATCAAGAGATGAGTACCTGAGGCAAAGAAGGGTGCGAGAGAGACTGACAGACATTATCTGTACCTCACTCCTGAAGAAGAGCCACAAAGATAACCAACTGCTGCTGTTCTACATATTGTGTATTTAATTAAGGTTTTCCATTCTTTCAGTTGTTCAGACCAAACATCTCTGGATCATCCTCAACACCTCACACTCCATTTCACCAGCAAAATCTCATTAGTTGTACCTTCAAGTTCATCCAGAACTCAACCATTTCTTACCATCTCTACAGCCCCCACCCTTGTCTGAGCCATCAACAACTCTTATCTGCATCACCTCAAGGGCCTGCTGACCAGTCTCCCGGCTTCTGCCCCTGCTGCTACCGTCTGTGATCAACACAGCAGCAAGAGAAGTGTAAACCTTCCAATGGCTTCCCACCTTGCTCAGAATAAATCCGAAGTCCTGATAATGAATAACCTACAAGGTCTTACATGATCTGCCTTGTATTCTATCTGTATTAGTCAGGGTTATCCCAAAAAACAGACAGGGAACAAAAAATACACACACACACACACACACACATACATATATATGTATATTATATGTATATATATACACACATACACATACACACACATATATATAAATCTATTTTATTTCATCTAAGTATATTTAATTGTATACATATACATGTTTATTATAAGAAATTGGTTTGTGTGATTATTATAAGGAATTAGTTCATGTTTCACAATCTGCCATCTGCAAGATAGAGACCTAGGAGAGCCAGTGTTGTAAGTTCTAGTCTGAGTGAAGACTAATATTCCAACTCAAATCCAGGCAGAGATGTCAAATTCTCCCCTACCCTGCCTTTTGTTCCATTCAGGCCTCCATCAGACTGGGCCCACCAACACTGGGGGAGGACAATCTGGTTTACTGGTCTACTGATTCACATACCCAGCTTGTAAGCAGTGGAACTGGGACTTGAACCCAGGCAGCTTGCCTCTAGAGCCCATGCATGCACCCACTCTTGCTACTACCTTCTTTTCTCAGTCACCTCCGGCCACACTGGCCTCCTCAATTGCCTCAACATACCAGGTACTCTCCCATCTCAGGTCCCTTGCATGTGTTCTTTCTCACTGACTTGAAAATTTCTCCCCTAGCTCTCTCCTTGATTATGCCCTCATTTCTTCAGGTCTCTGTTCAAATGTCACAACCCTCTCTAAAGTGGCACACACTGACACACCTCTGCCTCAACACATACCACCTACCCTGTTAGTCGATCCTTGAACAATGCAGAGGTTAGGGGTACAAAGCCCTCACGCAGTCGAAAATCTCAGTATAACTTAAAACAGCCTTTCACATATGTGGATCCCCACCCACAGATTAAAAACACACTTGACCTTTGATGCTTACTGGCTCATATCCAGCCCTCAAATTCCACTTCATCATAACATTTTACTCTTAAAACCACTGTATAAACAATACATATGATATCTTTTGTCCACAGTACACACACATTCAACATTATTCAATCACGATACCTAATAAATTACAAAGGCAAGTATTTCACAATATCTCAAAGTCTTTAGATAAAGGAAAACACCTAATAGCTGTGCCTTAAAATGATGCATCCATGTAATGCTCTTGAAACAGCTGGGTTCAGTTCTTGGTAGCAGAACCAATTTGACCATGGGGGTGGAGAGTACCTGAGTTCCTTTAATCCTCCAAACAGTACTGCAAGGTGACATTATTACCCCAACATTACAGATGTAGAAACTGAGGCCTGCAGAGGTTAGGAAATTTGCAGAAGAGACACTAGTCGCACTAGCAGGACAGAGTCAGATTGGAATCCAGATCTTCTGACCCAGTGTCTTCTGATTCCCAAATGCTTTTGCTCCTTGACTGTGTTGAGTAATAACCCATTTCACTGTACCTAGTTTAGCAACTAAAATAGGTGATTAGATCTAATATTAAGAACAGTTCTGTTAATCATTCAGTAGTTATTAAGCAACCCCCAGGTATGGCGAGTGAGGGAAAAAAAGCTAAAGAAAAATAGATCTTTGCCCTTTAAGACATTAATTTGTAAAAAAGAAGACATAGCTGTAAGAAAAATATTCACGGACTCTTACAAAGCAACATACAATCTCTTATGAATTATGAGCTGCATGCTATTTAAAATTTTAACGTCTCTAGATGTTTCCAAATCAATTGAATGTCATAGTTTACTTGTTTACTTTCTTGGTGGCACATAAAATAACAGTGCCTTATAACCAATGGCATCTTAGAATCAAGAAAATATAAACTAAATGGCCATTTATTTTATAGCAATCATAAATATTTACATCAAAAAGTTGACCTTTTTTATATATAGTTTATAAAGTTAATATCTGTTACCACAAAAATAGAGGTCATCAGTACCACCATGACCTCTGCCTGGCTCAGAGTCAAATCCCCTTTCTCAGGATGCAGGCACAGCAGGAGGTCACTCCAGGTGGTTCAGAGCAGCCTACACAAAGAATAAATAAAATGGTACATGCGTTCAGACAGAAGGAGCACACAGTGTTCCTGGAGACACATTGAACGTTTTACTTTCAGAGAAGTCAGATTTCAAGGGATGAGTTAGAAAGAGAAGATGGTGAGATCGGTGTGGCACAGGGACAGGGACATGCAGAGGGTAGAGGTTAACTGGTGATAGATCGGGGTGACAGGCCGCAATAACAGTGTTATGAACATTGACGCCACAGTCACGGATTCAAATCCTGGTCAAGTCTCACACTGATTTTTGACTTTGGAAAAGTCAATTATTTTGAACCTCGAGTTTCTCCTTAATAAAATGGCTATAAAATATTTATGCTTAGTGATGTGAGGAGTAGAGATAATACTTGCAAAACACTCAGCAAGGGGAGCAGGCAGTCAATAAATGCTAATAAAATTGTCTAGGTTTTGAATAGGAGTGAACGAGCAAAGCTGTGCTTTGGAAAATTGATGTGGAATCTGTGATTAAAACAGATTGGATGAAAGAAAGTGTTAAGGAGAAAGTTAATTGAGATGCTTTTTCAATTGCCCAGACAAGAGGTAGGGGACGGGGATGGCAATCTAGGGGTCTCTGTAGGTGGAGATGCAGCTGTCAGATGTGTCTAGGGGCGGGAGCCAAGGGTAGGGGAGGGTACCAAGACTGAACCTAGACTGTGCAGCACTTGCCGGGAACAGAGCCTTAGGGTGGAGGCCCGGGACAGCATTCGAGGAAAAGAGAGATTCCTGAGTTTGGCGCCCAGGTACCAGAGAGAGGCCGCGGCCGTGGACAGAAATACAGGTGGGTGGGGTAGGGTAAGAAGTTCTCCACCGCCGCTGCCCAAATCCTGTACAAGGGACAATCTGTTTGCAGGCCCTCCGCGAACAAGCCAGATTCATGACAGAGGCAGGGACCGGCGGAGGATGATCGGCGGCCTGGGGCCTGGGGTCCACAGACCAGCACCGCACCCAGGACCTCAGCGCGTAGCCGGGAAGAGGAGGAGCGCGGCTCTTCCCGCCTCTTCCCGGGCGGGCCTGCCCCAATCCGCGCAGTTCTGCGGGGCGGAGCCGGAGGCGCCCAACCCTGCCGCCCCCTTTCGCGCTGCCAGCGCAAGTTCGCCCGGGTCGCCCCCGGTTGCCCCAGGTGTGCCTGCCACCAAGCGTCCGCTAGTGTGTCCGGAGCACCGCAGTGACATCATGTTGGGCATGATCAAGAACTCGCTGTTCGGAAGTGTAGAGACGTGGCCTTGGCAGGTCCTGAGCACAGGGGGCAAGGTAGGCCCGCAGGGCTGCCGAGAAGCGGGGGCCCCCACCGCCCTCTGATCCGAGCGGGTTCTGAGGGGCAGGTGGGACAGGAATGTGCCCCGGATTGTGCGTTATGGCTTCTGCCATGGGCATGGCCCTCCAATGCCCAGCGCTTGGACTGGGAAGGAGGAAGGAGAGGTCCAGTGCAGCGAGGCCAAGGGATCTGCTGGGAGGAGGGGACACAAAGAAGCGAGGTTGATTGGCTGGGAGAATCCCAGCTTGGCGAGATCAACAACTCCTGTTGAACGCATTCGTTCATTTAAACATTCCAACATTCTGAACATTTGTTTGCCGAGAGACTCTGATTGCAGGAAGGACTGAAAAAGTGCTGTCCTTAAGAAACTCTCAACTGCTAGTGAACTGAGTCTGAAAGAACAAGATTCGTGCTGCTCAGAGGTAAATGCGCAAGGCGGGGAGCACAGGTGAAGGAGCAATCCATTCTGCCAGGGGGTGAGGATGGGCCTTCCCCGAGGCAGTGTCTTCAGCTGGGCCTCAGAGATGTGGCGTGCACAGACAAAAACAGCATGTGCAAAGGCCCAGAGCTGTAAAATGGCTGTTGGCCAATAGAACTTCCAGAGTTGGGTGCCTAGAATACAGGGTAAGTGAGGAGGGCAGACTTGCTATATCCCCTCCCCACCCAATTGACGTCAGCGCTAACCCAGGCAAATCCCGGCTGCCCGCTGAAAACAAGGAATCTGCCACTAGATTATAATCTTGCCGACAGGTACTTTGTGCACGTCGTGGCTGTATACTCAGCTTCCAACTCAGTGCCTCATTTGTTAAACGACTGCGTTGTCTGGGAGCCAAGTTCTGGTACCTAGTACAGTGGTCGTCACAAAAGCCCTCAACTGGATTCGGGACTCTTCAAGCAACTAGAGCCAGAGCCCTGTCACTCTATCTGTTGTATCTGTTTCCTCAGGTATAGAATGAACCGTTTAGCCTTGATCAAGAGTGGCATATTAAAATGCCTACAAGCAGCCAGGCAGGTAATGGGAATGAGTGAAGCTGGCCGTTTTAGACTATAAGGCAAGATGGGAACTGAGGCAAGTCAGGGAGAGAACTCAGGCCCCCATCTATAAAGGGCAGCTTCGGGCAGCTGTCGCCATGCAGTGATGTGAACCAGGGTTGCCAGATTTTTAAGAAAAAAAAATTCCGATTCTTTGTGTGAAATCTCTCAATTTAAAATTCATTCAGTAAATAACTAGTTGTTGAGTGCCAACTGTGTGCCAGGCACTCATATAGGCAGCTGGGATAAAGCAGTGAACAAAACCAACAAAATTCCGGTCCTTGTGGAGCTTACGCGTTAGTGACTAATGAACAAATCAATTAGTCAAGTATATCAGATGATGATTAGTGCTGCGAAGGAAAACAAGCAGAGAAGAGGAGGAAGGAATAGGCAATGTTAAGACTGAGGCTGTGGTTTTGAGTAGGACAACTATGTCAGTTTTAACTGTTGGCAACTGACTGCCGATGTTTGTAAACGTTGCAGGCCAAAGGATCTGTCTGTGGCCAGATCTAGCCTGTGCACCTGTCAGTCTGTGGACTCGGACTAACGATCTCTAGGGTCCCTGTTGTCCCTAACACTTGAAGAATTTATGTGTTACCAACAGCTCCCAGAGAGCTTTCCTTTCTGTGGTGGAATCCAGCTCACTTGGTCTTTTCGGGCTAACGACCATTGTGAATGCAAATGGAGGGTCTGGACTGGTTTGCTGCCCTTCCTTACCCATATCCTGTTCTGCTCTCTGTGTCTCATTGTGGAGATCCCTGTCATCTATTTCCCAAGCTCCAGTGTCAGCTGGCTCCCAGCAAGATTCATCCAGTGGGAGGCGCTAGTGGGAGATAAGAGAGCGAGAGGAAGGGAGAAGCCAGGATACTTAATATTTTATGCTCCAGTTTCATCTGAAAATAGAGATAAAAACACTAACTTCTTCACAGGGTTGTTGGAGAGATTGAATGAATGAATTCATGTAAAATGTTTAAAATAAGACCCAATGCATAGAAAGTACTCAGATTATTATAAGTATTATTAATATTTTCTTTTGATGAGAAAACTGGCTTCCACAGTCAACATATATACCCACCTAAGTGGCAAGGAAAAAACTGACCTTGCAGAGGACCTTGCAAATCTCATAGCAAGAAACATTCTTGCAATATCTCTGTCTGGGACTTGAACTTGACCAGGGTTCCCAATGAATATTGAAAATTAGCGTTTGTGGTCACAGGCCAAAATTCTCATCTCATAACTGATTATGAGCATAAGCAAGCTGGATATGGGGCAGAGGAGGGCGATTATTATGTTCCATGAGACAAGGAAACGTACTTAAAGACATTACATTTGAAAAATCAAATGTCTCAACAGCATTAACTTAGATGTTTTATTTTCTTCAGAAACAGAGAGAACTCTATTTCAATTCGGCTCCCTAGAGAACTAGAATAATTTTATAACATCCATCTCTCAAACCTAAATTTTCACCATGATCCAGTGGTTCAAATGAGGGTATGGATACAGATGCTGTGAAAACAGGTGGTACCTGCTGTAGAACCAGCTGAAGACATTATGACCAGCTTTTTTCCAGGATAAATATAAATAGACTAGGTTCTCATCTCTCCACCCAGCTATGGTTATTCTATTCCTTCTCATTAGAGTAAAACCAGGTTTTATTTTGTGGCCTCCTTTCCCTCAAATACATATAGAGTGCCTTCTATATGGAAGACATGTTACTACTAGATGCTAAGAGATACAATGGTAAACAATACAGACAATCCCTGACCCCATGGCATTTATGGTTGCAGATGGAGGTTAAAAACATTATCATTCAGTTATAATTACAATAAGTATTACGATGTGAAAGTTCAAGGGCCTATAAAAAATATCATTGGGAACCTGTTTTAAATTGGGATCCTCTCTTAGGAAGTGACTTTTAGGTTGGACTGTGTTAGATAAGTAGCAGTTCATCAGACAAAGATAGGAAAAGAATACTCCAGGCGGAGGAAGTGGCAGGTACAGAGGCCCTGAGGTGAGAATGACTGTGGCATTAAAGAAAAGAGCAGAAGGCCAGTGAGGAGGTGCTTTGGGTGTGGCTGGCAAATAGGTAGAAGATAAGTGGTCCTTGGACCATCGAATATAGGTTAAGAACTTGGTGAATGAAGAGTTTTAGGCAGGGGATTAATTGACAGGATTAGATTTATATAGAGTGTTCTGTATACATTATCTGGTCAATCTTAACCACATTCGTAGCTTTAGTTACCCAAATGTATCCCCTATGCTGATGACTCCCAAATGTATCCCCTATGCCAGTCTTTTGCTGAACTCCAGTCCCATGTGTCCAGCTGCACAATGGACAGTTTGCTCATCTGTAATAGGAGACAGGTGAACTGACAGATATGTAAGGGCCCTTCTAGTTCTAGAGTTTTCTGCCTTCAGAGTTCACAGAAAGGAAGGATCACTCATGATGAGGAGATGGAGTTAAGCCTTAAAGGATAATAGACTTATCATGGGGGCCTTTGCTCTCTGAACCATACTGATTCCTTTCTTGGCAGCCTTTCTCTTCTTGCGGTGGACTGCGAGCCTGAGGAACAGGCTGAGAGCACAGATAACCTTACCATTTCCCAGAACTCTTTTCTGGGGATCCCTCCCACTTAAGACTCAGACACACTTGCAAAAGCCTACATTTAGATCACAAAAAAATCAGTTGAACTGGAAGATTTCCTTTTATTTGACTTGTACTGAATTTTTTGTATTCTGTTATAGTTTTAGTTTCCAAGAGCTCTTGGATCTCTGAACATTCTCTTTTTATAGCATTCTGGGGCTGTTTTTGGTAATTTGAGAGGCAATATCTTCTCTTCTCTCTCTGAGAATATTGGATATATGAAGTTTTTTCTGCTGTCTGCATTTATAAGACATCCCAGATTCTATTTCTCATGGCCCTTCATATTCAGGCCTGTCTCTTCTACCCTGTCACCATACCCAAGCTCATTACAGAAAATTTCTTATTAGTTTGTGCCTCTTGTAGCTGGACTATTCCTGCTTCTAGAACATACAGACTGCTACTTTATATCTCTTAAGCATTATGTATTCTCTGTCTCTAGGAAGAAGTATCATATGAGGAAAGGGCCTGTGAAGGCGGGAGGTTTGCCACAGTGGAGGTGACAGATAAGCCTGTGGATGAGGCTCTACGAGAAGCAATGCCCAAAGTCATGAAGTACGTGGGAGGCACCAATGACAAGGGTCAGTATCCCTGAGGGATGTGGTTCTGGTCTCAGAGGTGAGCCTTGCATGTTCCCACTTCATCGTGGAAAACACAAGGAAGGGACCACAAGTCACTTGTCACTACCTATTATAGTGATCTGTGAACTTGCTGTGCTGCATGAACAAGAAAGCCTGGGGAGACCACACTGATTTCAGCCCAGCCTACCCTTCACTATGTACTATCTCTGCTCAATATCAGTGAGTTCATGTGTTTCTCCCAGATCTGGAGCTGTATGCTGGGTGGGTTTTTTGGGGTTGTTTTTTGTTTGTTTGTTGGGGGTTTTTTGGTTGTTTTTTTTTACCCTACAGTGCTTATTTTGTCTTCACATGGATGGACTGGGTGAATTGTGCCCACAGTAAGCCAAGGCACAGAGGGAAGGCCAGCCTCTGACCTGAGACCTCCACCCTTAGGCTGACAATCTCCAGAGTCCGTCCCCTGGTAGCTCAGATTCTGTGGGGTACTGAGGTTCAGTGAGTGATGAGTGTGGCAGGTCCCTGGCTCTGTTCTGGCAAATTAAGGGTCTGAGAATTCTCAGGCTGTCACACTCCTAAAAACTTGGCAGTCCGTGCTGGCTGCTTCCTTATTTTTAAAATGATAGGCCTGAAGTTTCACTATACCTGTTAGCATGTAAACCATATTTAAATATGACTTTAGCTGTTAAGCTCCCTAATTTAGACTATACTTTGGAATTACTGCAAACCCAAAATGGATCAGAAAGCAAGGTGAAAAAAGAGATACTGTGTTTAATTTTTAGGGTAGTTCTCAAGCTGATAATTGAGAAAGTTAAAAACTGGTATTAATCTTTGTAACATTTACTAGGACCAAAGTGATCAGGCCTTAGACAATAAGTTGACCAGTAGGAAGTCAAGAAGAAATCTTCTCCTTCTTAACACTGTCATAAGATTTTTTTTAGAAGAAAATAGGTGTAAAAAGTATAAAATTCATTAAAGAAAATTTTGAACATAACATAACAGCACCCCTCATCCATCTTTTCTAGTATAATTATTGTTGTCTTTTGAATATATTTCTTTAGGGCTTTTTAATAGGCTTTTAAAACATAATCATAGTGTTTGTGCAATTGTATATCCTGCTTCTGTTACTTATTTCATAACTATTTCCTACTGTTGCTAAATAGTCTTCTTCAGTGTAATTATTACTAGCTACATTGTATTGCATCATGTGCCTGTAATTTTCTTAGAATTATTTCTATTTTGAGCCTATTTATATGGCTCCCAGTTTCTCACAATTATAAATTCTGCTGCAATGAATATCCAATTACCTATATAGCCTTTTCCATATTTTGGATATTTCCTTAAAATGGATATTTAGATAGGAGGTTAATTAGATACTGATATATTTATGGTCTTGATGTATATAGTTGAATCACTACACTCTTACCTCTATCCAGTATATACAAATTGGAGGTGTTTTGTGTGTCTGACTATATTTTTAATGATTCCAATATTTATAATTAATTTCATGAACAAAAAATATTGTCTTGGAAGAAGAATGAGACTAACAGATCTTCCACAGGCCTGAGCAAGTTCTGTCTCTCATAACCACCTCACTCTATGGGCTTTTCTGTTTTCAGGAATTGGGATGGGGATGACAGTTCCTATCTCCTTTGCCGTGTTCCCCAGTGAAGATGGCTCCCTACAGAAGAAACTGAAAGTCTGGTTCCGGATTCCAAACCAGTTTCAGAGCAACCCACCAGTTCCCAGTGATGACAGCGTTAAGATCGAGGAGAGGGAAAGCATCACTGTCTATTCCACGTAAGGAGACAATTCTTTAGGTATCCAAGGGTAGCTCTTGATTTCTGTAACCACTCCTTGAATCATCTGTAGTGAGCATTTGTGTTAATTTTTTTTTTTCAGTTCTCTTGAGATATAATTGATATATAACATTGTATTAGTTTAGGGCATACAATATAATGCTTTGATATATACGTATATATTATGAAATGATCACCACAATAAGTTTAGTTAACATCCATCACCTGGCATAGTTACAAATTTTTTTCTTAAGATGAGAACTTCTAAGGTCTACTCCCTTAGTTATTTTCAAATATACAATATAGTACTGTTAACTGTGGTCACTTTGCTGTACATTACATCCCCAGAACTAATTTATGTTATAGCTGGAAGTTTGTTCCTTTTGACCACCTTCACCCATTTCTCTCATCCACCACCTCTGGCAACTATCAATCTGTTCTCTGTATCTATGACTTCATTTTTTTTTTTTTTTAATGCCACATATAGGTGAGACCATACAGTATTTGCCTTTCTCCATCTGACTTATTTTACTTAGCATAATGTCATCAAATGGCAAGATTTCCTTTTTTTAATGGCTGGACAATATTCCATTATATATAAATATAATATTCCATTATATATAAATATATATATATGAATATTATATATATATATACACACACACACACACACACACACACACACAAATATATATCACATCTTCTTATCAGTTCATCTGTAGATAGACCCTTAGGTTGTTTCATGTCTCAGCTATTATAAATAAAGCTGTAGTGAACATGGGGGTGCAGATATCATTTCCAGATAGTATTTTATTTCCTTCAGATACATACTCAGAAGTGGAATTGCTGGATCATATGGTAGGAACCGCCATACTGTTTTCCATAGCAGTTGTACCAATTTATATTCCCATCAAAGTGTACAAGGTTTTCCTTTTCTCCACATCTTCACCAACACTTGTTATTTCTTGTCTTGTTGATAGTAGTCATTCTAACAGGTATGAGGTGATAGCTCATTGTGGCTTTCATTTGCATTTCCCTGATGATTAGTGATGTTGAACACCTTTTCATGTACCTGTTGGTCATTTATACGTCTTTTTGGAAAAATGTCTATTCAGATCCTCTGCCCATTTTTTAATCGGTTCAAATGTTTTGCTATTGAGTTGTATGAGTTCTTCATATATTTGGATATTAACCCCTTACCAGATTTGCCCCTTACCAATTTAACCCCTTATCAGATTTACAAATATTTCCTCTCATTTGGTAGGTTGACTTTTCATTTTGTTGTTGGTTTCCTTGGCTGTGCAGAAGCTTTTTAGTTTAATGTAGTCTCACTTGTTTATTTTGGCTTTCGTTTCCTTTGGTTTTGGTGTCAAATACAAAAAATCATTGCTAAAACTGATGTCATGGAGCTTACTGCCTATGTTTTCTCCTAGGAATTTTATGGTTTCAGATCTAATGTACTAGCCTTTAAGCCATTTTTAGCTGATTTTTGTGAATGGTGTAAGATAGGGGTCCGGTTTCAATCTTTTGCATGTAGCTGTCCAGTTTACCCAGCACCATTTATTGAAGAGACTATCCTATCCTCATTGTATATTCTTGACTCCTTTGTTGTAAATTAGTTGACCAGATATGCATGGGTTTATTTTTGAGCTCTCTATTTTGTTCCATTGATCTATGTATCCATTTTTATGCTGATACCATACTGTTTTGATTACAGAAATTAGTTGACCAGATATGCATGGGTTTATTTTTGGGCTCTCTATTTTGTTTCATTGATCTATTATCCATTTTTATGCTGATACTATACTGTTTTGATTACAATAGGTTTATAATATCATTTGAAATTAGGAAATGTGATGCCTCCAGCTTTGTTCTTTCTCAAGATTTCTTTGGTTATTTATATTATCATTTGAAATTAGGAAATGTGATGCCTCCAGCTTTGTTCTTTCTCAAGATTTCTTTGGTCTTTTCTGGTTCCATACAAATTTTAAGACTGTTTTTCTATTTCTGTGAAAAATTAAATTGGAATTTCGATAGAGATTGCATTAATCTGTAGGTTTCTTTAGGTGATATGGACATTTTAACAATATTAATAATTACATAGATTATCTTTCTATTTATTTGTATCTATTTCAATTTTTTTTCATTAATGTCTTATAGTTTTGAATGTACATATCTTTCACCTTGGTTAAATTTATTCCTACATATTTTTTAATGCGATTGTAAGTGCATTAATTTTAGTTTTGCTTTCTAAATTTATATTGTTGATTAATTAAGAAATACCGCGTCCTGACACTTTCTCACTTCAATTTCTTCAGCCTACATTACACAAACATTTGTATTGTATCTTAGTAAATGCCTTTGTCAGTTGACAAATTGATATGGGTATAGACAATATCTCTTTGGCTTTAGCTGAACACTTACATTAGCCACAGCAGATTTCTGGAAGACTCAGAGGAAAGCTTAGCTAAGCTGTAGTTTGAGGTCATAAATACATAGGAAGCATAAAGGGCAGGGAACCTCGCATTCCCCTTGAATGCCAGAAGGGCCTTAGTCGCTCATGGTCTGTGGTCCTTTGAGCAGAGCATACATGCTTCCTATTATCATTCTAGTCCTGTTGCCAGGGCCTCCTTTGTGGTCATGTTCCTTTGACTGTAGAGAATAACAGGTACAAGTGGTTACATGTGTTTAGTCTTTAGGCCCCAACCTCCTCTCAGAAACCGAGTCTCTTCTAGATAATCAGTGACTCCCCGTGTGATGGGCACCAAACCATATATAGGCAGACCCCAGGGGCTACTACCAGGAGCTTCGCCAGAGTAACCATAGGTGGGGGGTTGGTTCTGTTCTAGAATAACCTCATGAAAAATAAATATACAAATAATCTTGCACCAGAGTTTTCGTCTACTCTCAGGGCCTTCAAAATTAGTTATTTGCCTGCCTTGCTCCAACTCTACACCTGAGGGCGCAGCTTTCTCTGGAGCTAACGCATGCTGATGATGTAAGCTTGGCTGCTGTGGGCCGTCCTAGGCCAGGTGACCCAGCGCCCTCCAGGGGACAGTGACTGCACTGCAAATGGGCAGCGAGCGCTGGAGATTCCGCAACTCTTTACTCCAGCCGTCATTCATACTTTCCGGAGGCTGCAGAGAAAGCAAACTCTAATTAATGAGTATATTTTCCCAGGGAAAGGACTAGGGGCAGAGAAGTGAGGTGCCTGTGGTGCACAATTTAAGGAGATGCTCACACAGTTTTCCAAGTATAGGATTGGCACTGCGAGTGAGGGCCTCCTTAAATCTTGCATCCTAGGTATCTCAGTTGTCTCACTCTAGTTCCTGCTCCATCTTTTCCATTCTCTTTCCTGTGTCTTGGGAGACAGCCTGGTGTAATGTAATGAACAAGTATATTTTAGATTGAATCCCAGGATGATGCTCGGGAAGTTACTCAGCCTCTTTAAGACTTAGTTTCTCCATCTATTAAATGCTGATGATATCCCACCTCATAGGATTATTGTTAGAGTATCTTCCAGTATTTGCTAAGACATTATTTATAAATTACTTAATGTTTATGACCTGTCATAGGTTTAAGTAATTATTCTTTCCTTTTGCCCCTTCTTATCTCATGAGGAATGAGGTTGACATAAAATTAGTTCATACGACTTCAAGCAGATGGAGCTAGTTTTTAATCATTTGTATTACCAGACTCAGGATAATGAATTGGTACAATGTTTTTTCTTTTTTCTTTAACTTTTTAGTATGGAAATTTTTCAGCTGGTAACAAAATAGTGAGAGTAAGATAATTAAATTGTATGTACCCATCATTCACCCTTGATGATAATTAACTCAAGGCCAATTTTGTGTCATGTATACCCTCACAAATTCCACTTAGTTCCTATCCTAGATTAGTTTTAGGTGAATTCCAGATATTATATTATTTCATTTATAAATTTTTCAGTGTGACTGCTAAAGACTTTTTAAAGATATGATCATAATAGTTTATTACTCAAAGTTTTAACAGTAATCATTAATGTTATAATATAAAACATCCAATGTTCAGATTTTTTTCCTGTCATCTCATAATTTATTTTTACAGTTTGTTTGAATTTGGATCCAAACAAGATCCATCCATTGCAATTGGTTGGTATATACTTTAAGCTTTTATTAATCTGTAGCTTTCCTCACCACCACACCTTTTCATTTTTTCTTGCTATTTATGGATCATTTGTCCTATTGTTTCCCATAGTTTGGTTTTTGCTGATTCCCTTTCTGTGGCTTTTTAATGTGTTCCTCTGCCCCCTGTATTGCCTGTATATTAGCAGTTGGAACTAGAAGCACATGATCAGATTCAGGTTTGAGTTTTTTTGCAACGATATTTCATAGGTGGTGTTGTGTTCCTCCATCAGGAACTCATAACGTCTGTTTGCCTGGTTTTGTGATGTTTGTGGCCATAGATATAACCCTCACCTAGGTGCCTTGTTTCATTAGAGCTTGTAAAATAATAATGTTCTCTATTTTTCCTTCTTCATTAATTAGCTGGGATACTTTGATAAGGAAAAACTTCTCATTTACTATTTGGGTTCCCCTGAGATAGAGTCATAGAGAAAAAGTAAGATAGCTTTTCTTTAGCTTGATACCTCCCGTTTATTAATCAGTTTTCAGAATAATGATTCCATTTTTTAACATTCTCCAAAGGTGAGATAGTGCTGATCTGTTTTTTGAGTATCAATATAAACATCTGAATTTAAAGATAATTGGTATATTTTGATTCTTTGCGGTTATTATTCTTATTGATGCTCAAATTGTCCCATCTTTGGCCAGTAGGAGCCTTTTTAAGTTGGTTTCTCAGTCCTTTTGACATGACTCTAGTCTTCTATGGTGGCTTTCTTGCTTTATGGTATGTTTCAAGCACATCTTGACATTTGTCCGATTGTCGTCTACCGCTGGAATTAGCTATTTCTCTAAGGAACCCTGGTTGCTTATGGTGGGAAAGGGTTTCTAGTAAAAGGTA